GGGTAATGTGTGTTGGAGAGTCCTGAGGAACAATGCAATAGGTGAACCAAGTTCCTTAAATTTTTAAAAGCAAACTGACTCCAATTTATTCAATCCAATGATCAGCAGGGATGGGCAGGATCCCCTTATGCTTTACTCATGATAGTCCATAAGTTGACGGTCCAGCATAGTACAATATTACCACCTGGTCAGCCTCTAGGTGATCTTATGGAACACCTAATTTCTACAGAGCCTGTTGCAACCTAGATAAAGTATAATGAATTGATGGTTGCTAGTGTGGAATTGGTTTGATAAAAGCACACCTCCTTGGGCAACACTCACCACAGAATGAGATCCTGTGAAAACATGGTAAGAGACCCTGAAAGGTAGCAATGAAAATATTCACTCTTCTGTATAATCTAGTGGAAGTAGTTAAGATAGTTTTAGGGGGTAGACTTAAATCCTCAGATCAAGCAAATAATAAGAGACAAAATATTCAGGAAGGTCCACATACCAGTCTGCACAATGTCCTCCAGCTGCCAATTCAACTGGGCCACTAAGGACATAAATATGTGATGAATCTGATTAGACGTGACTCACAGAAAATTCCTCGCCTTCAAAACGAGCCCAGAATGAATAGTTGCTGCGTAGCACCTCTAAAGGCATTAGCGAAGGCAACAAAACCTTCAAGATCCTCACTGAACATGACAACAACTGAAATCTGATCAGTCATAGAAGTGAGAAATCGTGATAAGATGAATCAGTGAAAAAGGATTTATCCCCTTCCCTGTCTGACAGTGTCTTGGGTAAGAAGAACCGGTCTGAGGATGTAGGTAGAAGGATGAAGCAGTCTATGGACAAAGAGAGCAAATCACTCCAACTGGCAATATTTGTAGCTCAGCAGCAACGAAAAATAAACCTTTAGGTAAAGGTGATAAATGGCATATGAGAATCATGATACAAACAGGTGTTGGGAAAGGGCATGTAATGTAACTTTAATATACCAATTGGGTAACTGGAATGGTAATTTAGGACAAAGGACCCAAAGCAACTTGAGGAATCTGGAAAGTACTGGGGAATCAAAGAATATTTTGTCAATAGTATCGAATGGTAGTCGATAAGGCTGCCTTATAAAGGAAATTGTGGAAAATGCAAAAACCCTTGCCAAAAAGCCAGGTCAAAATCGATTTATGGTTGGCACTTCTGATCGAAGTGGGTTCAACCGCCTCTCAATACATCATTGCCGATATGTGTGTCATTTCCGTTGTGAAATGTCCATTGTGGGACTAAGGAAAGACTGAGGCAGATACATGGCAACCATATAAATTAAATCCAAATGCTGTGCAAAAGACTGCATAACCTCGATGCTTAAAGCTTGAGCTTCTGGTTAGCTGGGTGTTGCTGCCAATCTGGTGCTATCAACAGGACTCAACAATAAGTTGGAACAAATCATAGTTAGTACCTTGAAAAATATATGAATTAGAGAGAAGGCCTAGAGTTGTAATCCCATCCTGTCCTGATGGAATGTGTCCATTGCCAAAGCCCAAATGTGAGGTACTGGAGACCAAACTGCCAGTAGTTGGGTGTTCCAATGAGAGGCCAACCCACCAATCAGAGTTGCAAATTGAGAGCCAATCCAACAGAACCTTGTGATGCAGCACCTATTCTGTTGGGACAATCTTTTTGGGTTGAGACAATGGATCTGCTACTGCAGTCATCACATGTAGAACATAGCAAGCTAGTAGGGTGGTATGATAGGAGTGGTCCTGAGAAAGGAGGTTCAAGATTATAAAACAAGAAGCCTTGGACCAAGTTCCTCCTCAATGAGAAACACAAGATACCACAACAAAATTGTCAGAGTGAACCCTGATGATTGTCCCTTTAATAAGTTCAGACTATGAGATATTGCCTTTTGAAGAGCAAGAAGGACTAAAACATTGTATAGGAAGGCCTGATCATCTATGCATAGACCCTGGAATTCCTGACTGTTGGTATATACACCTCATCCCTGAAACGAAGCATTCATGAAGAGATGGAACTCTGGATGACGTGGCAGCAGAGAAACTTGTATCCTAGTAGTGTCCTAACTTAACAAACCCTCGAGATCAAAGAATGATCCTGATTAAGGAAACTGGGGAATCCAGTGAATCAATGTTTATGATCCCTTGGTCACATAAAGACCATTAAAAGTTTCTCTTGAGCTCTCATCCCAAAGGTATAAGAAATTTGAGTGATGCCTACCTGATCCTTGTGCACAAGAAATACCGATAGTGGTGGGATGCCACCAACATGGCAGTGTGCAGATAGGAACCGACTACAACAAACTTGGACATCCACAATCCCAATAAAAATTTCAAATTAGATTGAGAATTAAGTAACTTTTGCACCTTGGAAAATCTAGGCATTAGTACAGATGAGAGATCGTTGACTGTACACCAACCTCCTGTCTTCTTAGGCCCAACAACCAACGGAAATAAAATCCCAGAAGGGCTAGCACAACTCTCTCACTACCCCAGACCAACCAAACTCTGACAGCCCTAGAACTAAGTTCCAAAACATTGAGGATCTGCAAGAGATAGAAACCCTACAGGGAGGGTGGATAATTGTGGTGAAGATGTGAACTGAATGACTAATCCTGACTCAAGGACCTGTAGTACTCCTGGATCCAAGGTTAAGGTTACCACACATCAAGAAATTCTCGAGAGATGAGCCCCATAACCCCAAAGGCAATACAATAATCACTGACGCCACTGGCAATGATCCGACCGAGCAGTGGAACCCTTGGATATAGACAGAAAATATTTTGGATATTAGTGTACCGATGGGCTGATGTCAGGGGTCGGAACCCTTGAATAAGGGTGGAAGTATGATCCTATAGGAGCCAATGAAATTCGAGAAGTCAAAGACAACAGGAATGAATGTAAAAGCTGACAATCGAACCAATGAGTATGCTAACAATGGTTCCAGCTCGTCATCAATGAAGTTGGTGATCCTGAGAGTCTTTCAATGAAGTGTAGTATAAGGAAAACAAAACATTGGAACTTAGACTTGTAAGTCCATAGACTTATCCTGTCCCACCAGGTGACATTGATATATTCAGGTTAAACTACAAACTCTACCTTAGAACTCCTAAATTCGAAGAGCAGATGTACTATTTAAGAGTTGGAATATGCTTCAACCTGGTGGTGGTAAGCTAAATCACAAAGTTCCATAACTGTCCCTTCACGTAACTGAGAAGTAGCTTCCCTGCAAGAAACACAATGTTCTTAGATAGTGAGAAAAACTAAATATTCGCTCCCAAACCTTTCAGCCATCAAGTAAAGTGCAGGCTCAAGAGCAACTGGGGAAAAGCCAAAACATCAAGCTCTCGATGAATCAATTGATAAAAACAAATTAAAAGCAACTTATCCCAAAGTGGCCTCCTTTTTGTTTGAGAAAAGCAACGTTGGGCCATTTGCTGTGTCTACTATAGGGAATCAAACCCTGCAATCCAGCATTGCAAATCCGTAAACTTGTACCATCTTACAGGGGGGACTGAAAAGACAAATGACTTAAAGAAGGAACAGGAAAAAAGCAAATCTAAATTCTCTCCAGAATGTCGAGGATTGCCCTCAACTACAACCTCAGAGTCCCCTGGTGGAACACTACAGAACCAAATACATGTCTCCATCTCACTAAGGATAAGATCACTGACAGTTTCAACTGAGAATGACACCCCCAACCACACCAATTGTTGTGCGATGCTAGATATGAGAAAGGTCGGATAGGAGAGTCCTGATTTGCCTTTGTGCTGGAAATAATTATCCGGGAAGTCATACTGTAAGTCAGCTTGCCAATCAGAATTTTTTGTCTTTTATTTTTTACAAAAATTAACTAGGTAACACAGAGAATGCTCAAACTATTTCTGAACAATGTAGCACTTGGAACCTGTTAGTGACACTTTGTTGAGAAAAAAGTGATAATATTATCTAAATGCGGTGCTTATATACAGTACCAGACTAGAGTGCACAGTGATGTAGGTGGAGAGTGTCATGAGACAAATATCACAAAGGGCAATTAAGTGGGGTTTAAAAGACTGAAGCAAACAAGAAAAAACCCTGGCAGTTAAATAATAGCTGTAAGTGTGAGAGGAGGTCAGGAATGTTTTGTAATTTACAATTACACAGAAATACATAGGGACAGTTTCCATTTGTACTTTGTTCCACAGTCTCATTAATCAAGAAATGCTGAGCTTTAGCTCTTTTATGTATGCTTTTGCATATGTCAAAAACAAGATACTTTAATTATACAACATAGTGTTAAGTTGAATATCTATATTTTAAAATCACTCTTTAAACAAAGAAAATGTAATACGTACTTCCACAGAGGAAAGATTATCGCCTGTCAATGTTTTTTTCATCACCATTCCATATGAGAAATTTTAGCAAGTCCTTACACATATGAGAGATCTTTTTACATAAAATATTTTCATGTGCATTAATTCAGAAAAGAGATTAGCTTGTATATGTTTTATCACTTCTCTTCCTCTGTCTTGTGCAAGAAACTAATGTGTTCTTAAACAAAGGAAACATATACTCTCGTTTGTCACCTCAGAACATGTATTGATGTGTCACTATCTCAACCAAGAGATTTTGGAATTTTAAATTTCACAATAAGTTAGAACAAAAATTCAGTTTAATTTTATTAATCCTTTCAAATATTCAAGCTTAAAAGTGACTGTCATTTTGAAAATTAGCATTTTCAGTCTTAATACTATTGCATTATACAAAAACAATTGTGCAGTCTTAATAACAATAATGCAAGGCCCTTTACAAGCATACGACAACAGATACAACGACTGTCAGAAAAAAGTGCTAGCCAAATATTGGAAACATTCTCCTTCTTCTGTATCAAAAACAGCTCTTTACAAACTTCTTTGTAACTGACAATTTTCAATAAAAGAGATAGTGAATGGAGTTTATTTGATCTTCACAAATCACATGATTATACAAGAAGTTAAGACATCTTTAATACCTTAGAATCTAAGTTTCCATACTTTCTCTCTTCATCTTTCAGCTGATTATGTAGCTCTTTTTCTTTTTCCACTGTCTTTTCCAATGTCTTCTGAAGTTTTTCCATTTCTTCAGTCTGCCGTTTAATTTGGTTTAGGTTCACTTGATTCTGTACCAAAAGAAAATTGATATCTATAATCACTAAAAGCTTTATATAAATACAGCTTTTAAATTTTTATTTATTACAGATACAAAACAACAGAAATATATTCCCATTTTAATATTTTATATTTCAGGCAACCAGTTCAAGATAAATATAATTAAGACTGAATAAATAACAAGAATATAAAAAAACCCCCAAAAAAACAAGTATTTTCATAAAGCATCAGCTAAATAACTCTATTGACATAATGCCTCTCAAAATGGAATAGTTGTGAGCCTAATTTAATTATGTTTCGAAACAAATGCTAAATATATGAACTTCTAACATGAGCAAAATGATAAATTGAACGACTTCCTCTTTCTCTCCAAATTAATTTTATTCTTAACTGGCAGGCTTGAAAGTTAGCAAATTAACCTACTCAGTTTAGAATTTTGCCATGCTGTTGATGTAGTATTTAGTTGAATGATAATACCTCCCCTATTACCTGGAACAATAGCTGTCTCAGTAATTATAAAATGCATGACACTGAAGCTTTAAGATATAGTACAAGCTCTATAAGGTTAAACTTCACTTTTAGCCAGGCTTTAAAAATATTTTCAAATATTATTTATATCTTTGTATTTGATGTGTTCACATTATCAAGGGTATGTAAAAGACCGAATATAAAAATATTCTAAGCCTATTTAAAGTAACATGATCAACTAATTCCAAGCCGTGGATAAATTTCTGTGTTAAAACTAAATTGTAGTTAAATGATTAAATTAAGAAACATAAAAATTATTGTGTTTTTTAACCCAAAAATTTATATACTTCAAATTAATTTTTAATTGGCTATAAAATACCTCTTTGATGTGCAAGTCTCCCAATATTCCCAATCTACCATTGTAGTTTATTTCTGACATACAAACATTGAACAAATATATTAAAGGTATAAGCAGTAACATCTTGAAACTTTAGATCAATAAGACCAGCAATACTATGTATATTTTATAATGAATTAGGATTTATAATGAGCCATTAGGTACCACTTTACTTTGTGGATACAGATAAAGTCCGATGTAAATAATATGACTTGCTCAACTTGAGTTTCATTACCTTGATCCTTCAACTTGGACGTAGAATCTACAAACACACTTACGTACCTTTAGAAACAAAACTTCTTGAATGCAATTTAACATAATGGTAAATGCTTTAGGGTAAACAATAATTTTACCATGGTAAAAAACATTCCTTTAAATACCTAATCTGTACATATGTAGTATTTTATTGCAGTGAAAAAAGGTTGCGATTATAAAATATTGTTTACTGATAACCTTTATCAAATTTTTTTGCCCCAGACCCAAAGTTGGGATAGTATAAATACATTAAAAATGTGGGTCAAATAAATCTTACAGGGTATAATAGGATCTAAAACGAAAAACATAAGTAATAGGATATAAATACATCACTTTTCTAGCAAAGATATACCTGTATAATGACTTTCTTGCTCGTGTTTTTATTTGACAAAAAAAATATCCACCTGAGCTTCTAGTTCCATAACTTTCTGGCGGAGCTCCTTTAGTTCTGCCACAGCATCAGCCTCTCGTAACTTGGCTGAGATAAGATCTTCCTGCACCTGCACAATTGCTGACTTCTCCTGTTTCTTGGATGTTGTAGAAGAATCCATGTTTGCTTCATTTAGGTGTTGCTAAAAGAATATCATAGTAATCAGAAGGAAATATCATGAAAGTTAAAAACTGAATAACATGGTTGTGAGAATAATTACCAAAGAACTGTGAAAGATTTTGAAATTTGTTCAACTTATAAAAGATGAAATTTTTTTATTGTGAAAATATTTGTGTATAACGTGAAACCGTAAGATTTTGGTTAATAAACAGTGATATAAGTAATTTTAGTCAAGTGATTGTAAAACTATATTTACCATTGAAGATAAAATTAAATATGCCTAATTCAGCTTCAGATTTAAAAGAAATAATGATATTAAATTCTGAATATTTTATTAATTTTTACATATCAGTATTTCAATTAGTTTCATATCAAAATACTTGATCATCATTCAAAAACTTCTCTTCATAACAAACGGCAAATTAATTTCACTCAGTGCTAAACAAATCCCTGGTATAAAAAACCCCATCCTTGACAAACTTTTATATAGCAGAAAAGTGCCAAAATATAGAAGCTACTTATGTCTATTTTAGCAATTGAATTCAACTATAATGGGAAAGGGCAATGAAAAGAGGAAGTATTATACGAGAAAGAGTGGAATTGGACTCGTGTAACTCACGAAATTCGGAGAAACGGAGCATGACCAACTGACTGACCAACACTTGACTTTTATGATTACTATTACTATATTAGATTTGTTTTTGATCATATACAATATTGGCTTTTTTTTATGAAAGAATGAATGAAAAACTAGGTTTCATATACATATATATGTATGTGTGTGTGGGTGGGTGTAGATCTCCCTCTTACAAGCTTTGCACAACCTAGATAATTAAAAATTTGAAAAAAGAAAGTGTATAAAACTTCAGCAATTCTAAAATCTAATTATTACTACTATTTTTCTTTTTACTGAGTCCTGAGGCCACTTACAGCCATTGAGGCATCAGATGCTGTTGCAACATCAGTGATTCTCAAGAACATTTATTTTGTGAAAAATTAGAGGGAAAACAACTAGTCAACTCCAGCTACTATCAACCCTTGAGCTACTCTTTAACCAATGAAAAGTGGAATTGACTGTTACATTATAATGCCACCAAAGCTGAAAGGGTTAACATGTTTGAATTGAATACCCTAATCACAAGGCCATGCCAGACCAATTTTAATTATATATAATGTCTTAAATTGATGTTGGATACCATTACATTCTTTACATTGATAATTTTACAATCAAAAATTTGTTTTCTTTTAATAGTGTCTATGAAATTTGAATTATTCACAATAACTATAAAAACTTAAAACTTTTCTGCATAGAGAATTTTGAAGAGAATACCAATATTTGACCCATTTCAAATATTAGAATAGGTAATAATTAAAGAGAAGTCATGTCAAATATCTTAAACTTGTAGAAAAGTTTAACATTATGTCTGGAGACTTTCCAAAAAAAAAGGAATTATTGTTACTTTATAAGAATATTTGCATAAAACATTAGCCAAGGTAATTATATATGGATGAAAATATCATCTTACAAAACACACAACAGAGAATTAAAAATTAGAAAAAAAGCATAATATATAAAACTAAAAGAAATTTAAGCAAGGGATCAACACAGAAAAATATATACAAATTACACAGACCTAATGTTTATGTTGTAAAAGTGAGTTACTGTTCATCTGCTACTTCAGTTGACTATGTCGTAATTTGACGATAAAACTAGCTAGCAGTTACCTGATCTAAAACTAGAGATTCAAGAACCTAGTATGCAAAAGGACAGGTGTAGTGAGTTGTCACAGGTAGAAAGAAAGAAAGATGATTCAGTTTGAAGTTGAAGCAAAATTTTAATTTTTTCTTCAGTGAAAACAAAAACAGTCAATTGTGCAGGTGCATAAATAAAGGTAAATTGTATTAAAATTAAAATATGTATACTTGAAATAAGCTGGTGGCTATGGTTGATAATAAAATGAAAGTAAAGAGGTGTAGATGATCAGCAATTTGAAAGATATAGCAACCACAGATGACATTTTCAAAGAGAGGCTATAACTCTTTCAAGTCAAAAGCAATTCTGCTTGTATCAAAACTGCATTTACAGTCAGAAATAACTCTGCTTCCTAGAGCAGCCATAAAGCAGTTCTCTGTTTATAAGGTAAAGGAACTATCTCAAGAAACATCAGCTAATTCTATGACTGAACCTTGCTACAGAAATTTATACCTGTAGTTGAATTTAGCCATACATGACCTTGACTACATTATGGTTCAATTCAAAACTTATACAAAGTGGAAAGTTTTTTTTAGTATATATATATATATATATATATATATATATATGCTATAGGAAAGTGAGATATATGATATTTGCATACCGCAAATAAACTATATGTAATTGTGAGCTGCTAGAAAAATAACGTTAGGTAATAAAGATGCCAAAAACAAACTTGCCTCATGTTGATATAAGTATATTAAAGTTTAGTGGATCTTGATCTTCTTTCTTTGTACTAGTGTAAGTGATGCCAACTAGAACATAGTACAAATTAGATAATTAATTACCCTCCAAACAATTTGCAGGCCTGATACTTTCTGCCTGAGTTCTTTCATAGAGAGATTAGCCTCTGCCTCTTTCAGTTTCACAGCAATGAGTTCTTCCTGTAGTTGGGCTAGTGACTTGTCTGGAGTGGTTTCTCGAAGTTGTTTATTGGCCTGGAGAATGACAAAACAAATAGAATATAAAGAGCTCTAGCTTTTATCCTAAATGAAAAACAAACAGATTTTTTATAGACAAAGCTGGCTAAATATTTTTGGTCATTTTATTATTTTGATCAAAGTATGATTTTTAAAGGAGACCTGGATCAAACGAGGTGATAAATAAGTTGCCAGAATCTTGATGCACCACTACATCTCGATCCACAATCTCACCTCCTCAAGTTCTTGAATTCGACTCCGCAAGTCCTGCATTACTTCATCTTTCTCTGCTCCTTGTAACTTAATAGCCACCATTTCATCTTGTAGCGAATGTAGCAATTCATCGACAGAGCTATCAATGGAGGGAGGTTGTAATCCAGCCTTGTATTTACACACAAGAATATAAAGGTCAAACATTATATAATAAAAATATTTTTGTAGTTACTTTTATACTAATATAATATAATCAGTAAATATGTAATTCACAAAGTAAGTTCAAGAAAAGTTAATAAAGGAATAGTATTATGGTATCTTATTTGTAGATAATATATATTGCACTTACTAAGCTGCTTATGATAGGAAAATCCATACTGCTTAAAAACACTATTACTAGGAGTTTTGTTTTGCACAAGTATTTACTCAGAAAAAAAAAGTTAACTGCAGAAGAAAATCAATATTACATGAATGTACCTCATTGAGTGTTCTGATCTGCTGACAAGCGACCTTCAGTTCTTTTTCAACAGTCTCTTTCCTATCTCTAAGTTCTGCCAGTTCTCGTTTGATAGCAAAATTATCTTCAGCTTCTTGAGCTCGACTAACCTGATCTTGAACAAGCCGATCTGCAAGTGATGCACTTTCCTGTAAAATTGAATTGTTATTGAAACACTATCACGCACATACCACACATATATATATAAGAACTTTATAATATATATTAAGGGGATAAGCTTTTTCTTTAATATCGACATCCAGTCTCAGCTGCAGTATCACTATTTCATATACAATGTATAATATAAGTCAGATCCCAATATCCAGCTTTTAGTAGGTCTTTTCGAGAGATAAGATATCAACTAGTAAAGATAATAATATAATAAATAATATTGTGCTATAAAGCTTTAGGGGTTATTAACTGCACTAATTTGTTCTAACACAAAAATTGAATTTGAAATATGACACTCATCATTTAAGGAAGTTTCTGTTATCAAATTATATTGTAGTTTCCTGAAATAAAAATGTATATGGTAAGACAGTTATCCAATAAAAAGTATTCTGCAAGGGTTAAAAAATTTGCTCATTCCCCAACAAGTTTCTTCCAACAAAAATTAGGTTTAGAAAGAAAATAATTTATTAAAGCATATTTTATCACTATAAAAAAATCAGCCATTCTTTCAAACCCTTAGATATTAAAGTAACTTAAAGTAGTAGTACAGTAAAAAAAACATGTCCTTCTTTTGAAGTATTTTGAAGAGCCAGCTATATTTTCTTCCCTTGAAAACCATATCAGCCATTACAGCAATCAATTATATTTTCCAATAAAGAAAATGCTCAGCTTACAACCACCTAGTATATTAAAGGTTGTTTTGGTGTTAACTCCTTTCGATACAAAACAACATAACAATTAAAAGAGTTATGAAGCACTGACATGGTGTACATAAGGCTGTAGGAACCACTAACAACACTCTCCCAATACCAGTAGTTGTAATAATTATTGAGAAAAGAGTGCTGTATTAAGTAGGATTTTAAAAATAACCAATTGCTTCCAATGCAGATATTATCAGTTAATCCAGCTCACAGTGGAGATGACCAAAATATTTTCGTCGCTATCACACGATAACCATGGCTGATCATTGTTTCACTTAACAGATTTATTTTCACTAAAATCTGACATATCAGATGTTTTGCTACAATATATATAACAACCATAGCTGGCATATGTGGAGACACAAAAATGTAGACTTATATGCAACATTTTGCAAACTGCATTGTTTCAACTTTCATCAATGAGTGTCCAACATCTTAAAATAACATTTATTAAATACATAAAAACAGAAGAGTGCCAAGCACAGTTAGCATACCATTAAACATGCTGCATATTTACAGCTGTGGGTGCATTTATAATAGTGGCAGCTAGTCAATCAGTCAGTCATCATTTGGTATTGTTGACTGTCTGCCTTTACTTTCATCAGCAGCTCAAAAATTAAGATGACTATACATTAACCCTAGGATCCTCTGACCTGATTATTGAGCCTGTGTGCTCCATAAGGTACCAAAGCAAATCCTAAACCGCCACTGACAGATGATGGCGAGTCACGGGATCTTGAAGAGGAGGAAAGGAAATGGGAGGCGGGGAAAGAAAGGGGAGAACGAGTCCCTCTGAAAAAACCTTTGTCACCCATTGATACTTGACAAAGGGGAGCCAGCGAGGAAGAAAATCCAACAAACAAGCTCCCATAGGCTCTGAACTTACCAGGTAGTCACTGATACTGTTGACGATGGACGATACGTCAGCAATGACCTCGAGAAAAAGAAGCTGGATTTGAAGGAACAGGTAAAGGAGGGGAGGACAAAGGATGGGAAATGGGAAATATTGGCATGGAAGGCTCTGGTCAAGACAAATGGGCCACAAAAGTTGAAAGGGTGAACTGTTGTCCGGCGGATGTTTCTCCGAGGCACGAGATCATCAGGTACAAGAAAAGACATAATGTTGAAGAAAAGGAACAAGATCTAAATCCCTGAGGTAAGTGGAGTATAAATTAACATAAGACAGAATGGAGTCCCTACCAATAAGGTCCCAACAACAAAGAAACCACATATGTAATTACAGAGTTGTGAAAGAAATACAGACCAAAGAAAAGAAAAGGTGAAGGGCATCAGCAGAAAATCCCTCAGGATTTCTGTGGAGAGCCTCCAAGAGGAGATGTATAGAAGATAGATACCAGAAAAGGGTAGTAAGGGAAAGACAAATGCAAGAATATTAGACATGTCTGAGACTAAAATTAGATTCCGGAGCCACCGACCCAAAGAGGTAATAAGGAACCTAACAACTGGTAATCCAAAATCGAATATTCTACCCAATGGTAAGCAAGGGTGTACTGATCAGAGACTTTTGGGGGGTGCAGCATACTGATCCCTTCACCTAACTGGGAGAGAAAGTGATCCACATGGACCTGAATATCAAGAGAGGGAGGAAATACAAAAATTGGTTGAGAAGAATGCCCATGCAACAAAGAAGAATGATGGGAATAAGAAATAGGGGAAAGAGACAAAACATCGCATATCTGAGATATAAAACCCGTGAAAGACGAGGAAGGCCTAGTTGAATCTTCAGGCTGGAACTGGGAAGGAAGGGCAAACTTGGGAGGAGGAAAAAGATAGTCAAATAATCATCATGCTGGATAATGTCAGCAGAATCTGAAGGAGCTTGGGCGACGTCAGGGGACAAAGGGTGACCCAAGTAGCAGTCAATCTCATGACAGACAAAATTAGAATGATCCACAGTCGGGTCACCTGCACCTGAAGGTTGGTCATTGGTGTGACCCCCGAGATGGTAATGTTGACTTCGGAATTCATAACTTACAAAAATTGCACAAAACTGTCTAGTGCAAAAAAATATAGAACCACTTCAAACAAAAATCAAAATGTTCGAAGCACAAAAGAAAATGTCTGTACTCGAAAGCTGCCAAATGAGAAGTGAAGGTTTGGTAGAAGAGTGTAGGGGGGGAATCACATGTGTCATGTGAGCATATTATTGGTTAATAGATGACGCATGATGATTTTCATGAGAGACACGTTGGAATGTACTAATTCCAACAAGGGGAGAGCACAAGGCTTGTGGCATGCATAAAGAAAAAGAATGAACAAGAATAGCTAATCTTCTGAGAAGAGGTAAAAGTACCGTATCAGAATTTTCAAATTAATATCTAACATTTGTGGTAGACCATGTTACAAGTCTGAAACAAAAACTACTACCTCACCATGATACAATCATCAAGTACTCAAGGAGTCAATATGATAAGAATTTCTTCTCTAGTGCAAGTATTTTTATTTATTTATTTATATTTGTAAAATCTATATTCTGGTGTCCAGGCTACTTTCCTTTTATACTGTTGAACAATAATTAAAAGAACACAAAACCTTATAACATAACATGAGATGTTGTTGATAATGCTTTATACAGTCTAACTCACCTGTTCTAGATTTTCTATTCTTTGCCTTAGCAGTCTATTCTCTGTCCGTAGTTTCTGTTAGCAAAACAAAAGAAAGGAAAACAGCACTAACGTAAGGTGCAATTTAAGTAAATGTGTCATATAATGCATCACTATTCAAGGTTGTTTTCATATTACTCGTTAAAAAAAATTGTAGACAATTTTTATTTTGCTTTACTGTTATACAAGTACACATATTTATCCGAGTACATTCTTCCATTAATAATTGCCTTCGAAAACATTTTTAATATCCTGCTAAAAAGCCCTTTTCAACAGTAGTTAACAATGAACCTGATCGTCATGTTTGATAAAGTTGCAATTTTATTAGATGCATTTAAATACCCACAATAACATACTAGGTAAGGAGATAATATTATAGTGTTAAAAACTAAATAAATTAGCAGTTACATCTATGCTGTTTTAGATTCAAAAATCTTTAATTTCTTACCTTCATTTCAATGAGTTCTTCATGTTCTTTCACCTTTAAAGTTGTGTAGTCTTTCTCAAGCCTACGAAAATTATACTATTTGAAGGACATATTGAGACAGAATTTTAACATTGGGTTTATAGATAAGTGCACCAGGCATAAAACGTAATGCTATAAATGGGGGTGTGAATTGCCCCTTTCCACTGTTTTGAGCCATAGCACACAAACCATTCATTGGAATTAAGTACATCATTTTTTTTGGCATCTGCTTCACATAGTAAAAACTGAAATATATGCCAAACTCAAACAAATTATCCAACTAACTTAAATTTCCATTTAAGCTTGAGTTTTGGTGAATACACCTTGTTTCTGGTACCATATTTCACTGAAGTTGACTCAGCCAGTTACTCACAACTGGTTGCAACATCCAGGCAAAAGGTCTTGTTGATACTGAATATGGTAGATGAATTACAGTTGACACATTACGTCCGACTGTTAAATCCACAAGTTTATAATAGTAGTTCCATTTTTGTAGATTTGATGTAAAGTTCTTTACTCACCACTAATAGCCTAAAATACTAGCCTAGGTATTTGGATAACATGGGATTATACCATCAGAATTAATTATTGATTATTCAGTGGACTAGCTGGTAATTTATTTGTGAATTTTCTTTTCTGTATCAAAATGTGTAATTTCAGTGAAAGAAGAAAGAAACCATGAATGATTTATAGGCCTTATTTATTCTATGATTTGCTACTCCTTTAAATAAATTACCAGCTAGTCTGCTGCATAACAACAATTATTTAACTGGAAGACACATTCACATGCTATTCAAACACCTAGAGAATTTTAGATCACTAGTGGTCAGTAAAGGACTCTCCATCAAAGTTTATAAGTTGTTTACATTCTACCACCATAAAAGTCCTGATATAGTTATACATACTTGTTTGCTTTCACTCTTAAACTCTTAGAATAGCTTTATTCCTTTAGTTTACTCCACCAAGCAGTATGCCCCCAGTGCTTCAGAAGAAATTCTGCAGACTTACAATGCTAAAAATCGATTTTTGATACCCCTGGTGGGCAGAGCACAGATAACCCATTAGTTGTGTAGCTTTGCGCTCATCAACAACTAAGCCAAACCTCAAGCTTTTCTGAGGAGCCGTGATGCAGCGAAACAATATAGTATACTGCAGAAGGAGTAGCACAGTAAATCAAAGAATAGGTTAGGCTTCTACATCACACATGGATTATTTATTCTATTACATAATTTATTCTAATTTTGAAAATACTTATAATTTTCTCTTTAATTGGTAAAATCTAACTTAACAACTATTTAAGTTTGTTATTTATCTTTTTCTAGTGGCTCTTTTTTAATATCATTTTTGTAATACTTTATGTCTTTCAAAACATTCATTACAGCTTGGAATTTCTTGTTAGTCAGACTGAAACATGCATTAGTTTCTCTCTTATTCATGTATATAACTTCTGGTGGCTTTTAAAACACACATTCCTCTGATTGGTAAAACTTATCAACTATTTGTGACAATTATATTTCTGTTCTTAGTGTCCCTTTTTCACATCATTTTGGTAATTCTTTTATGTCTTAAAATTTCTACTACCTATTTATCTTATATACTACGTATGAGCTGTCATCTTACTATCCACTGTCTGGAATTAATATGAAATTTATATTCTTGTTAATCTAACAGTCATAGTAATAAGTTGCTTCCTAGGTGTCAAATTCATACCAACAAATTTAATTGGAAGAAGACTAAGAAATGCACTACATTTAACAGACACAAGAGCTTGTTTGTGTATAACCCTCTCTCATGAAGAATTAATTCTGCTCCTGGCATATTCCAGCACCAGATTAAAACCTGTTGAAAGGGATTCCCAATACAAACTTCCATTTGGATGATATGCTAATCACAGGACTTACCAAGGAGAAGCACTTGTCCTACTTGGAGGAGGTGCTCAGGCAATCATCAACATACAATTATTACCAGAAGTACTTCATCTGAGAAGGAAGAAGTGTGTTTACACACCACAGGTTGTGTACCTGGGTTATTGAGACTAGACAGCAGGTTTCAGTCTGAGTGATGAGAAAGTCTGGGTAGTAAAGAATGCTCGTGCATGGATTGACATTACAGAGTTGAGGTAACTTCTAGGAACCATTATTGTACATTCTTACCTGATATTGCAAATTTCACTGAGCCACTGAATAGGCTATTATGTGAAAATATTAAGTGAAAATGGACGAAGAGTGAACAGTCAACCTTTGATGAAGTTGAGAGTATGTTGTGTTCTGCACAATTATTATTATTACCTTGTGATTCTGATAAAGAGCTTGTGCATGTTGTGGTGTTTTGGCCTATGCCATACATGCAATTTGAGCATATTGAATGAATGGGATTGAAAAACCAATTGTTTACGCTTCATATATTTTTTAATCATCCAAGTGCAACTATAGAATGGTTGAGAATGAATATTTTGCTTGTGTTTTCAGAGTTTGAAGATTTCACCAGTATTGGTATGGTTTTCATTTTACACTAGTATCAAATGATAAACCTCTCATGACTTTGTTCTCCCAAAGCAAAAGTATACCTTCCATGGAATGTGCATGTATATAAAGCCAGATGTTAACTTTGGCAACCTATTATTATAAAACGTATTTCCATTCTGGTAATGATAACAGTAATGCTGATGCTGTGAGCAGGTTACCATTATTGGTTACGGAGTCTGAGGTGCTTTTACCAGATGATTTTGTTTTCTTATTTGGTGGCCTGGTATAGATATGGGATAGTGGTAATTTAAACCATAGTCTCACTTACATATTGAGTTCATGGGTCGATTTCTTAATAGCTTGTTTCTAGTGGTAATGGATGCACATTTTAAATAGCTAGAAGTAATTTTCATTAAATACATAACAGCAGAAGTCTATTGAACAGTTAAAGAAAATGTTCACTGTAGTCAGTATTTATGATACCATTGTGTGACTAGAAATGATATCAAACATGTTTAGTACTTCATTCAAATCTGCTTCTAATAGTCAGGTGAAACAAGCTGTGCAAATGGTAAAAGATGGTCTGAAGGAAATGTCAAGTGGTACATCGTAAACAACATTGTCACAATTCTTGTTGAGATAACATACTACACTGCTTACCATGACAGGAGTACCATCATCATGGTTACTAATGAATCAATTGTTGTGTACACCCATGAGTTTGGTACATTTGTGCACACACACACACAGATTGTGATAGATAAACAGAACAAACAAAAGTCTTATCATGATCAGCATGCTAAGTATCATGTTTTGAATGTTGATCATAAAGTATCTGTGAGTAATTAAAAGTGACAAATGGTTGCAAGGTACTGTTACAAAACAGTTGGGTTACAATATGTTCAAGACACTTGGATCAAATTAAACTCACATTTACAAAGGAAGAGGATACAGCTATTCCTGTCCCCATTTCATTGAATGTTAGTAATGGTAGAAGTAAGAAGTAAATAGATACAGAGATACAGCAGAGTGAGGCATAGCAAAAAGAAAGTATAACATGATAAAGTTACAAGTGGAGATGCTGACAAAAGCAACATAAGTAAGGCAATGAAAGCTACTGGCAAAGAAAACATATAAAATGGAAAAAACGGGAATGTAGAAGTCAGTCAGAGTTGAAAATATCAGGGTACTCAAGGTAGACTGGTTTTATAATAATATTCATACAGTATAACGTTCATACTCTGTATTCAGTACATATCTGTAATCTGTATTGTTTCATGGAACTCTATTGTGATTGTTATAAGAGAAATGTTATTCATATATTCTGTTTCAGTTAACTCATAAGCATGATAAATACAACTTCATGTATCTATGCATCAGTACATAGCATACTTTGTTTATGCAACTCAGTTGTTTAACAGCTAAGTGAGAAGTGTGGTATACTGTGTAATATTTATATAATATATATTGTTAGTAGTACTAGAGTGGAGTGAATGTTTGCCTTCAACTGTTTAGCATTGTCCTCAACTTCAACTTACTTGTAAACCAAATATTAAAATTTGTGTTGCACATACTTAACATAAGACATTTTGCTTTTACATAAAATATCATAAGTTTTTCTACAAAAAAAAGGAACACAGTAAAAAAAAATCATGACTCTGTAATTAAAGTGAATCATTTCATAACTTTAAAGCCTCAAAATTAATAACAGAATGTTTCTATACAGTTGTACAATTAGTTAATACAATAAATCTAATTACACAAAGGTCAAAGTTTGGAATGTGCAGAATAACTACATTAATATGAGGCAAAAACCTTATATTCTGAATGCCACATATATTTTCACACACAAAAATTTTTCATGGTTTCATCTAAAAGTAAATTAAGTATTTATTATATTATTTTCAAAATGTGAAATTAATTGTTTGATATGTTTTAATTCCAAAAGCTCTAAGTTCTATAAATAATTTAATAATACCATAGCTCTGTATTCACAGCGATATTTACTATTTTTGGTAGCATTTATCCTTTATAAAAATCATGAAATACAACTTTTTCTGGTAATTTTGCACATAATTGAAATACCCAACAATATTAGAAACATATTTATAATATATTTACACTCACTTCTTCATCTTTTTACTATTGTACTTGACCTGAAGAGCCATGGAGACCAAGTAGTCTGGATCTGTCTCACACTTGGAGGGCATCTCTTTCTGAAAATACTGGAAAAGAATTAACATTTTTTAACATTTGAAAATATTGAGGTTACTCTTCCAAAAATTACATTCAGAATCTTAAATTACTAGAGAAAAAAAAACAGTTAAGATTACAGCATGATACAAGCTAATAATAAACAAAGATTAAACTAGATGTAAGAAAAGAAAACCTTAATTTTGAAAAATATCTGACTGAAATATTGACCAATTCTTGAATTATTTCCTTTACAAGAAGCTTAATAGCCATTTGTTTAGAAATGTATAAACATAGAGGATTTATTTATAGAAGTAATAGAAACAAACCACTTGATTTTATGCTCTGAAGCATTTAAAATTTTCTTAAAACAAACCCAAACTTGTAAACTTTTCATAGGTAAGGAAACTGTGTAATTTAAGCAACAAAACTACTTTCTCTTAACAGTTATTATACAACAAGAGTACTCTTTACCAAAGTTCAGGAATATTTCATCCGTAAAACATTTTCTGGTAAAATATCAAAGTTTTCCTCTTAATTTAAAAACAAAATAAAGGTAAGAAATTCAATCACAAAATAAACTTTGTATTTTTCAATTAAGCTTGATTGATTAATCTAAATATATTTTTATTTTATTTTACATTGTGTATATAAATATTACAGCACATTCAACTTCAGTGAATACCCACTAAATGACCATCAGTAATATGTAAAAGAGAATTACAGGTAAATACAGTTTACATAAAATACTACAAAATGCCAGTTTATTCACTCTTACTTCTATAAAGCTTCAGTACAAAAAAATAATTTTATTCTATCATTAATTTGCACATAATCTAGAAAGGGAACAATCAAATTAGCAGAAAATGTTAAGTAAAACATTTTTAAGGTTACTACTGTTTAATTTAAAGATATTAATTAAACAAAATATTCTTGAGCACATTATGTTACTTTATTTCTACTCTTAAGTGATATATGTTGATTCCACAAACTAAATATATTAAATATTAAACTAACTCATAGCAATATCATTAAATCTTTGCCTTTAAGATTAAATTGTTTGACAACACGTGTATGAACTTGATCAGTTATTTGAGAAATATGTGACTGCTCTTTCTGAAGAGAAACATTAATACAGTGACATTGTTAAATGGAAAAGAGCCAAAGGATACAACATATAACAATGAATGTATTCAGTGTTTTTCCTGAAGTAGAAAATTGAAGCACTTAGTGCAACAACAACCCTTGTCAATCAGGACGGCCAAGACCTTTATTTGCAAAGTGAATTAAGACTAAGCATGATTATACAAGAGAACCCTCCAATTCAAAAGTCCTGCAGTGAAGATGGGCATACTTCCATCTAACATTAATAAAATAATAAACAAGGATGTGAAATTGATAAACCACACAAGTCTAAAGTTCACAAGCTTCCATCTACCTTAAAATTAATGGATCTTTTCAGGAGAAAATGGCAAATGAAACTGGAATCAAAGCAATCTTCTTTGTCTATATATATATATATATATATATATATAATTCCCTGTTGTTGCTCCTATTTGACATCTGTGCATGCATGCACCTGAAAATCACATTAGTGAGTTTAAGAAAAACTATACAAAATAAGTGGTCAGTACAACACTGACATGGCTGGAAACCAATAAGAAGTTTTATCCCATGTATACATCACTGCAAGCAGAATAGCTTGAGGGAATACAGTGTAGCTAATAAACTGCATAAATATCCCCTTTATAACTTTTACAGTGGAACAGAAATAACTACAACTTGCAAAATGTTGTTAGAACCACTGAAAAACAACAATTTACGTTGCAATATCCTGGACGGTCTGTTCAATATATTAGAATCACTTTACACTTGTTCTAACCTGTTTTTAACTTATTATTGCATAACTTGCATAATATATTTGCCTATTTCAAGACATAAACTAGTGTATTATTTTGGTTTGCTTACATATATTTTATTAATATTCTCCAAAAATTAATTAATTTTATAAGATGTTGATCTGTCTTCTTGTTATCTGTCAATCACAAATGATCCTGTGCTAATAGAAGTGGTTATCAGAGTTTTTGAAACTGTTTTATTTTAATTTTTTTTTAGGTTTGTATTTGGTATCTTCAAATGTGGGTATTTCCAATTGGCTTCCAGAAAAGAATTCAGAACAAATGAGCTAGAAACCATAGTTGCAAAGATGGAGAATACATTTCTGAAAAGATACAGGATAAAATTTGCAGGACAGTGACAGAGAAGAATGCTGTTCCAATGATTATTGAAAGCAGCCACTGAGTTTGTAAATTTCATATGTAGAATACTTCTTATAGATATATATAATGAACAAGTAAGTTAACTTCAGATTATGTGTTGGCTTAATATTAATTTGTTCAGGTTATTATAATTATAACTATTTTATAATAATGTTCTTATATGTACTTGTATACTGTGACTAAAATAATTGTTTGTGGAAGTATGGCCTTTGTTACACATTCTTCAAATTCTAACATACAGCAAGTATCCAAAAAAGCAGTAGTACTCACTGATGGTTCTGAATCTTGTGTAAGATGACATTCATGTCAATCAATGTAGAACCCTGTAGTAGAAACAATAAGGCTCAAGGATTCCAAGTAGACCAATAAGGAAAATATGACCCATGGGATACTGGATAAATCAGTAAGAGCAATAGGTTACATTAATGGTAATAGGACCAGTTATGCTTGCTAAATTGTGCCCATTTTCCCACTTCAGCTTGTGATCAGTTCATACCATTAGATACTGGTTTATTACCAATATAAAATATTGCTTGCATTTCTATGATACACCAATTAAAACTAATAATCAATCACTTCAAAAAAAATATGTAAATGGCCTTCCTGCTACCACTTACTCGAAGCATTCCTTCCATGTCAAGCTGCAGTAAGTCTTCTTTGCAGAACTGCAAAATGGCAACTGAAATGCGAAACACCATTTCCATACCCTATAGAATTAGATAAATAAGTATATATGAAAAATAGAACAGAATATACTAAAGTAGCTAGAGTTTAAGTTTCAGAAGTAGATTCTGTTCTCTGTTTATGATTTTTTCCAAGTTTAATGGCAATGGATTTCTGTAAGATACTTTTAAATTGCTGTTTGCTGATGCTGGATATAGAATTTTTAATTTCTGATGTTCCTTGTATCTATGCTGAAGCCTCTTGGCAGTATAACCAATGTACATTGGTTCCACAACTGAGAGGCTTTAGCATAGATACAAAGAAATTTGGAAGTTAAAAAGAACAGTTAAAAACTGATAATGATGGAAAAAATAATTGTATCTGTATTTTCTTCATGTATTGTTTTTACTTAATCTCATACTCATAATTTATGAAATTTTTTGGAGATTTTTATTTAGTTTTGGAGACATGGCTACTTTTAACAGCATTAAATATTTAGATGCACCAGGTTTAAGTTTTCTACCAAAAACTCCTCCATCAGTGCAGAGGAAACTTGTAACAGTTAAACAGCTGAAACTACATATAAGCTAGTGGTTTAATATATAATCATAAATCAAGAAATGGTCATCATGATGTGGATAAAAGTCAAGAAAGCTAATCACATTGTAGCAGCATAGCATTTTTACAAAATGAAAACTAACCTCAGAAAGAAACAGGTCCATTACCCTTGATGCTATCTGTAGTGGAAGAGCAGCTGTGAAAAGGGTTAAAAACCAGGATGAGGCATACATTGACGTATGGAAATTTTGTGACTGAAAGTGTACATGCAATTCAGGAATCTGTTCCTAAAAAACAAAACACAAGTTGAAGATGTCAATAAAAATGTTAAATATCTAATGAATATCATTAACACAACAATAAATTAGATGAAAATTGCTGGAAACTGTTCATGTGAGTTGATAAAACATCTATAATGACAACAGTTAAACAATTATTCACTGAAATTTTAAATCAACTTTGTACATCAGTTTATCTAATGTCTTAATAAATTGATTTCTACAAATGGCCTTAAAGTAATCTTGAAATTCCTCCTTTGGTAATATCCTGAACATCTTTAGATTCTTTTAGAAGTAGAATATAAATCTGTTATAAAAAAACAAACGTATCTCAGTTAGTTGATTATATTTTAGATACATTTATTCAAATAATTCTTTTTTAAAATATTCAGAAGTTCAGAAGATTACAAAGAGAAAAATCTCATGTACATAGATATCTCTATATCAAATCTATATAAATATAATAGTGTTGTCTGTTGTATGTCCATGTAACTACTTTGCATGGTATGGATAGATATTCACCAAAATTGGTATGGAGGTTCATTAGGTCCATGTGGGGGCACATTCAAATTTTCAGTTTTGGATTTTGCAGTTTTTATGGGCATTTTTGTATTTTTTACCACTACCTCACCTCCTGTGGATGAATCTTCACTAAATTTGGTATGGAGGTTCAATGGGTCTATGGGGAGATAGATGTAAATTTTCAGTTTCATATTTTGGGTTTTGCAGTTTTTATTGGCATTTTTGTGTTTTTTACAACTACATATAAGGGAAGCAACTTTTCATGTCCTAAGATAACCTTTGATTAATGATGAATTTACATAACTTCTGTCCAGGGGATGGGCACTACAGCTAGCATTCAATATATGTTTATTAATAAAACCTATCTATTATTCAAAAAATTAAATTTGAATCACATGAGTGAACAAGATAAACAGAATTCGTACAGACTATGAATTCTAGCTAACCCTTAAATACCCTGCTTCAAGCTACGTTTGTACATAACTTATATCTTGTAAAAATTAAAAAGAATCTCTGAATAGATTCACAAGTTTCTTTGTTACATATATCTAGCATGATTGTAGCTCTAAGTATATGATCTAAGCATTTTATTGTAAAGACAAATATATTTAATTCATCTATATTATAAATCTTATGTTCTGGATATGTGTTGCTAGACTTGTCAAGAACTTAGCATCCCTTCCACTAGGGTTCTTTCCATATGTTTAATAGTAAAGAGGATGTTACAGTTTGAAAGAGCTCGACAAAAATTGAATATAACTAAGCTCTTACAACCTCTAGCACGTCTAACCTGCAAAAAATAAAAATAATATTACCTGTACTATAGCATCTAGCTGGTACATACATAGGCCAAGCTCTGCCATGCTGGGTTTGTACATCTCTCGCAGTCTGTAGTCTTCCATTAGCCTCAGCAAGACAGCAAATGCTTCTTCTTCTGGCATCTGAGAAATTTTGAATCAATCATGTTGAAAATTTGTCAAGTGTCTAATATCAGAGATGTTGTATATATGTTTCTGCTTAATCAAACAAATGTTTTACTACAACATTTTGTATCAAAAAAATATAAATAATTATTTCACTCATATAAAAAATGATTAAACATATTTATTTAAAATTATCACACTCATATAAAAAATGATTAAACATATTTATTTAAAATTATCACACTCATATAAAAAATGATTAAACATATTTATTTAAAATTATCACCACATGCAGTCTCATCACGCAAACCACTCCATAAGTTACGATCTATATCAACTAGAAAAGTTATTTTGTCCAAAATATGTCTAGATTCAGCTCCCCTAATTCCAATATAATCATCCCTCTATACAATCGTATTTCATATGAATAGTTTCTTCTGTGCTGTAGTACAAGTTTTTAAGTCTCTCTTCATAGTTCAAATTTCTTAAATCAAGCATCTTTCTAGAAGCTTTACTCTGCTCTTTTTACATCATATTAGCATTCTTTTTACACATCATATATCTGCAACCAATCACAGTGAAATCAAATTATAACCACCAACTTACTGTTTCTACCACGAAGCATTATTTTCCCTATTTCCTAACTTGTCTATTAATATCACATAAATCTAACTGGCTATTTAATCTTCTATGCCAAACTTTATACTCAGCTTCCTTTCAAATTAAAAAATTCATCCTGTATAATTATTAATATACTGTTATATTAGTCCACTATCCTTTAAGTTTTTTAGCTATTTTCAGAAGTATCAATCATGTTATATTATTTGAAAGAACAGTAGAGAACTAAAGATTTGAATGAGTTGTAGAGAAGGAGAATTGAAGTGATTTATAAAAGCCTGAAACTATCAGATGGATGGTTAGATATGGTGAAAAGAACTAAGGGAGTTCTGTGGAATTGTTTTATAAAAACGAAGTTGGACTTTTGTTTTATTTGATCATGGCAAGTTATCTGGTATTATGCAGTATGATACTTAGAATTTATATCTTCACTCATATCCAAGGGTATGTCCACTAGGGTGGCAGGGAAGGCAACAGACCCCACCCCCACCCAAGAGCTCTGCCACCCCATCTGAGATATCAAGATTTAGTGTTTTAAGATTCTTCATATGTTGTGACTTCACCTAACATATGAAAGCATTAATATTTTGTGGATAGCAGGATAGACATAATATGTAACTGGAACCAAAAGATGCATCTCCAATAGCATGGGAGTTAGGAGGTATTTTTTATTGGTAGGTTGAAACAGCACTAGACTGCTGTGAAGCTTTGCAAAGCAATCCTGAGGTAATTTTGGCTTTTTGATAATTAAAAAGAATAAACAGACATTTCTAAAGGTAAAAAGAAAAAAACATTTTTCTTTTTTGTATTTAATAACATTTGACCACCTTCTGCCCCTTCAAATAAAAATGTCCACTGCTCATATCTCACTAGTGTTAGTGACAAAAACCTTTTGAAATATGTTTTTTACAAATTTACTAGATATGCTAACTTCAGACCCAACACTTCACAAGGAAAGCCAACTGTCACGTTTTTATCTTCTTCACTATTTATGTGCATACCTATTTCACGTAATTCCCGATATTGCGGTTGTTGTTTGACTTTAGCCATAAATATGTACAATTACAAATTTATATTAAAACACGGAAATACAAACTGTATAAATTAAAACATCAATACACTATAATCGATAACAATCAAGATCAGCTAGATGTTAGTCTAAAAACCTAACCTTAACTGGTACCATCATAACGTATTTTGTAATCAACAATGCGTATTGTTCAAGCCTAAATATCACAGAGGTTGTGACAACTTGGATGTTTCTTCAGACCTGTTTAAAACTATTTACATTATCATTATGTTACATATTTGTAAAGTGTTAGGGTAGAACTTTACTTAAAGTTTAATTTCTGTTGTGGAAGACTGCTATTTAAATTAAAGACCATCACTCATGCATTCACACTCTCAAATGATGCCTAAATCATTAAATGACAAAGCATTAAGAATTTTAGTAAATCAATATATGGAATAACACTTTCATATTAGTATTCAAAGTATATGATAATTTCAGTTCTCTGTAGGCTTATATTATAACGCTAAAAACCTGGTCTTGATATTCGTGGTGGGTACAACAGAGATAGCCCATTGTGCAACTTTGTGCTAAGCAAAACACACAAAAAAATCACCTTAGTTTCTGTCTATATTAATGCTATATACCAAATAAAACACTCACCTCCAAATCAGCTGTTCGTGAAGTAAACCGTTTGAATAGTTGACAAATAGTTATATCATTACTTTTTCGTCATAAAGGCAATGAATTCATTGTCTTTATTTTCTTGTGTATTTCTTTACATAATGTTAACTTTCTCATTATTAGTATATCTTTAGTATCATATATTTAAGGTTTATGTTATTGTTGCGTCTCTGTTCGTTTGTTAATTTCCCGTAAAATTTCTTTCCTATAAAACTTTAGCGATACAAGTCCTTTCTTAAATAAAACTAGTTTATTCTTCCTCAATACA